TCATGCCTGACTCTTCTTGACCCCATTGGGGGTTTTCTTGGCAGAGACTTTGGAGAGGTTTGCCATTTCTTTCTCCAGCTCATTTTATAGATGAGGAAACTGAGGCAAACAGGATTAAGTGACCTGCCCAGAATCACACAGCTAGCAAGTTTCTGAGACCAGATTTGAACTCAGGAAGATGAGTCTTCCTGACTCCAGGCATGACACTGAGCTACCTAGCTGCCTTGGCTGAACTGTAAAATGCATAAAAGTGAGTAATGTATGATGTGACTGAAAGAATTGTTTGGAACCACATTGTGAATGACTTTAAATGCTAAACAGAGGAGTTTATATTTGATCCTAGAAGTGTTAGGTGATCACTGGAGTTTATGCGCGGGAGCGTAACATGGCAGACCTCTGCTTTAGGAATATCACTTTAGCAGCTGTGTGGAAGATGGTTTAGAAAAGAGAGAAACTTGAGGCCGGGAGATGAATTAGAAGACAATTACATCAACTATTGTTCATGAGAACCATGACTAAAATGATGACCATGTGAATAGAGAAAAAAAGGCAGATGTAAAGGATGCTGTGGAGGTAGAATTGACCCGGCTTGTTGGTTGGTTGTTGTCCTTCACTCTCGAAGAGGACCAAAATGACATCACTATGTTAGAGTCAAGTTTTGGTGTGTCTGACTGTGGCTGATCCAACCAATACGAGTTCAGAATGCTCTACTACAGGTTGGGCACAAATTGTCCATGTGAACATTTGGGGTGGATTCTCTAAATGTGGACATCTCACGTTACTTTTGAGCTACTTCAATTCTGCTTTGCTTATTGAGCACAGCACCTTCTCTGATGAGGGCATGTCATGCTGGGAGGTCCTGTGCCAGTGTATCCCACATCATACAATCAATTCCAGAGCTCTTAAGACAGACCTTGAGAGTGTCCTTGTATCACCTTTTCTGACCACCATGTAAGCGCTTGCCCTGTGTGAGTTCTCCATAAAATAGAGCTTCATCACTTACCTGTCATGGTAGGACTTTGAGATAGACAAAAATGGTAAAATGGTATGGGTGATATCTTTTGATCCATGTGTAAATTGGATTTAAGTGAGGCAGAGTAGCACAAAGTCATCAGCCTCACTCTCTCTTCCAGCGTCATCACAGTACAGTGGCAGGATAGAATCAAGATGACTGGTGATGCCTTGAGATACAGTGGATGGATGACCCACAGTACCTGTTTCAGCTGCCTTTGTGGCTGTTGGAACAAATTGTTCTCATCCACCCATTCCACCTGGGGAAGTATTCAGATACTTGGGGTAGATACCCCCCAACTCACCAATGGGTTTGAGACCCCTTGGTTACCCTCAACCTGGTTAGCCCATCTGCCAAAATGGTTTGCCAGGGTGTGGCTGCTGTGCATGCTACAGCTTCTTGGAGTCACAGGTGAGAGTTAGGTGGATCAGGTGGACACCAAAGGTGGAAAGCAAGCCTGAAAAGGGCTCTGTAGCCCTCACACCAGAGGTATTAGTCTTCCCTGAACACACCCTATACCCCAACCTGCCTGGTAAATAATAGGTGCTTAATAAATGCTTATTGACTGACTAAGAGGAATTGGGTATGACTGAATTTAGTAACCTCAGGAGCTAGAAGTATGGTCTCCTTGGAAGAAATGGGTAAATTAGAATGTGTGTGTGAGAAGCTTAGCAAGGGAAAATAACATTTCTGTTTTTGATCTTTTGAATTTGTGATGCCTATAGGACATTTAGTTTGAAATGTCCAATAAGCAGTTTTCTAAGCAGCTTCTTGCCTCTTTTCACACTTTTTATTTCTTTTGTCTCTGACCACCTCTATGCTCAGCTTTCTCTTTCTTCTACCTTTATCTCTTCATCTCCTACCCTTCCTATCCAATGGCTTCCAGTGCCTCAAGAGCAGTTACCCATCTTTGACATGATATAAAACTAAAAAATTTTACCTCTCATTTATGATCCAAACAGTTATTACATAATTTTCCCATGTTTGATTTATAATTTATCAGCCATTTCTTTCAAAATTGAAAACATTTCCATGCAGCTTGAGCTGATGGACTGCAATGCCTTGTAAATTGTTGGCTCAATCGGTGTTGTGCTTCAAACAGAACCTCTCAGTACATCTATCTGAGAGGCAGTTTTCTCTCTAGTCCTCACAGTAATCTATGTTTACTGTCAATGCCTTCCCATCAGGAGGCCCAGCACTGTTGTGTCCCTGCCAGCCAATATAGATTGTGACTAGTGGCTGGAGTACTGCTTTGGGCCTGAGAGTGGAGAACTCCATTGGAAACAAAGAAGGAGCTAACCTTAAAAGCCAGGTGCCCCCAAATTGTAGTAGCCTTGAGAGCAGTGTGTGGTCTGGATGGCAGATAGATATATCCACAATGATGGGCCTTCTTTTTCAGCTTTTGGAGGGGGAAACAAGAATCAGCTCATGACATGTTTCTTTACTCATTTTTTTCATGTCATTTGTGAATGACATGAATTTTAGAACTTTTTCCTCGTGCTATTTTGTATGATGGGAGAAAGCTTCCTCCTGTCCAAAGTCTTTTCAAGTTGCAGTTCATCCTTCACTCAGCTGCCAAAGTACTAAAAGCACATTTCTGACTATGCTTCTCCCCCACTCAGTAAATTACAGTAGCTCCCTATTACTTCCAGGATCAAATACAGAATCTGCTATTTGTTCTTTTTTTAAAGTCCTTTATAACTTGACCCTTTCTTATCTTTCTAGGCTTCTTATACTTTACTCCCTTCCACACATTCTAACATCCATATATGCTAGCCTTCTTGCTGTTTCTTGCACATAAAATTCCATTTCCTAACTCCGTCTTTTTATTGGAGGCCCCTCATTCCTGAAATGCTCTCCCTCACCTCAACCTCATAATTTCCTTCAAGACTCATTTAGTGAAAGAAATTCAAGGTTATCAATAGCCATATGAAAAAATGTTCTTGATCAATAATAATTAGAGAAATACAATTTTTTTAAAAAGCTCTAATTAATAATAGAGAAATACAATTTTTAAAAAAAGTTCTGAAGTACTACCTCATCCCCACCAGATTGGCAAAGTTAAGAAAAAACAAAAATGATAAATGCTAAAGGGGATGTAAGTAGACAGGTATATTAATACACTGTTGGTGGAGCTGTGAATTTATCCAATCATTCTAGAAAGCAATTTGGAACTATGTCCAAAAAGCTATTAAACTATGCATACCCTTTGACCCAGTGAAACCTTCCCCACCTCCCTTATTACTATGGAGTGTAACACCATCCTTCCCGTCCCTCAGGCTTGCAACCTAGGAGTCATCCTGGACTTCTCACTGTCTCTAACCTCCCATATCTAGTCTGTTGCCAAGACCTGTTGATTTCACTTTTGCAACATCTCTCAAATGCATCCCTTTCTGTCTTCTGACTTTTCCACTACTCTGGTGCAGGCCCTCATCACCTCACTCCTAGACTGTTGGAAAAGTTTACTGTTGGGTCTGTCTTCCTGACTCAAGTCTCTCACTCTTCCAGCCCATCCTCCATTCAGCCACTGAAGTTATTTGGTTCAAGCACAAGTCTGAAATATCACACACCCCAACCCAGCCCACTCAGTAAACTCCACTGACTCCCTATTGCCTCCAGGATCAAAAACAAAATGTTCTGTTTGGCATTCAAAGCCCTTCATTAACCTAGCCCTCTCCTACCTTTCCAGTCTTCTTACATCTTACTCTCCAACACATACTCTTCATTCCAGTTACACTGGCCTCTTGGCTGTTCCATCAACAAGACGCTATCTCTTGGCTCTAGGCATTTTCTTTTCTTTCTTTTTCTTTTTTTTTTTTTTAGGCAATTGGGGTTAAGTGACTTGCCCAGGGTCACACAGCTAGTAAGTGTCAAGTGTTTGGTCTGAGGCTGGATTGGAACTCAGGTCCTCCTGACTTCAGGGCTGGTGCTCTATCCACTGCGCCACTTAGCTGCCCATGCTCTAGGCATTTTCCCTAGCTGTCTCCCACACCAGGACCACTCTCTCCTCTGCTTTGACTACTGACTTTGTTTTGATTACCAACTAATATCTCTTTTGCTGGAAGCCTTCCTCATCTCATCTTAATTCTGGTGTCTTCTGTTAATTATTTCTTATTTATCTTGTATATAGCTTGTTTGAATGTATTTGTTTCCATGTTATCTCTGTTAGATTGTAAACTCCTTGAGGGTAGGGATTGTCTTTTGCCTCTCATTGTATCACCAGTGCTTAGCGCAGTTACTGGCACATAACTGGAATTTAATAAGTATATATTGATAGATGTTGGTAGATACTGTTAAGTTTAATGAAACATAGACTATTTTAGTAGAATTGCTGAATTCACTGTATTTTTTCATAATCATATATTTCCTTAATTAATACTAATAATATAACTACTGTCCAGTAAGAGTCTAGAAAAAAAATTTATGTTAAAAAAATACTTCATACTGGAAAAAAGTCAAGATCCTGGGGTATCTTCTTTGGATTTAATGTTTCTTTAAAGTTGTAAGATTAGTTGATTTATTAATGTTATCTATTTTATATAACTAAAAGTGAAACTTTGTGATTATAAATATGAGTGGGTGATGGATGAAAATGTAGAACTACCATGTGATATTTTAGTTTTAAGAGCCAGCCTTGCTTGACTGTGGCATATGCAGCACACTGCCCCCACATGGTAGTTGAGTAGAGGTGCATGTTTAGGACCTCAGTTCTAAAACTGCAGAAACAACATTCAGTGACATCTTTCTGATGAGATGTTTAAAGTTATTTGCATAATCTTTGCAACAAAGGTTATGGGGCCTCTGAAAGAGGATATGGCTTACATTTAACTTGTTTATGCTTAAAATTTTTCTGTGCCCTATCTGCTTGGCTGCCACAGGCTTCTCACATGTGACAAAGGGTTGGTTCTTTTGTCTTTGCTGCTTTCTCTCATGTTTTTTTAAGTCATATGAGTAATGATTAATAGAGATGAAATATCTTTTCTTCCAGCCCTCCTCGCCCCCTGACCAACATGAATGATACAGTGGTTAGTCATACGTCCTCTGGAGTTCCCACTCCCACCAAAAGGTATGTGTATTGTTACCTAGTTCCTTGCTCCTAGGAGCTATATTAATGACAAGAAAACAGCAACAACAAAACTGACACAAACTGGTATTTTCAGGTTGGCAAAGAGCTTTATGTAATATATAGTATTTGAGTGTTCTCAAATGAGTATATCATTTTAATCTTATAGCAATCCTGTGAGGTAGTTACTATGTGTGTGATTATCCCCATTCCTCTTTTGAGGAAACTTGAAGCTCAGAGAAATTAAGTGACTTGCACATGGTCATAGAAGTTAGAAAGCATCAGTGATGTCTACCCAGTATGTCATGCTTCTCTTCTTCTGCTGATCACCTCCCCAGAGAGAAGGCCTTCCTCTTGTCTTCTTGTGCTTTTTACATGGCTGACTCCTCTGTATATGGAAAACATCCTGGATTCAAGTCTTAATGTTACCGTGGTCAAGTCACTCAACCCTTGAGCCTTAGTCTCCTTATCTTGATAATGGATATGATAATATTTAAACTATTCACTTCACAATACAGTAAAGTCCACAAGCATTTGTTAAGCATTCACTGGGTGCCTGGCACCATGCTAAACACTAGATGAGGAAAGCACTTTGTAAAATGTAATATGCCATATGAGTTGTTATTTTTCCCTTTTATTAATTTCTATGAAGTCAGTGTTTGGGTTTTTTTCTTCTCTTGCTTACTCATAAACACCAAAAACATAGTGGTAGAATTAGGTTAGTTTTAAGTAGTGTTTATTGTGGAAGACAATGTGGCTTAGTGGAAAGTATGCTGGACTTGGAGCCAGAAAGACTTAGGTTTGAATCTTGCTGCATACCACTCGTGTGTAAGCAATTTAACTCCTCTTTGGCTCAGTTTCTTCGTGAAGATAATAATGGCATCTACTTTAAAAGGTTGTTTTGAATATCAAAGGAGCTAATATGTGAAGCACTTTGCAAACCTGAACACACTATTTAAATGCTAGCTATTATTACTCAGAATATTTTACCAAGGCAGATCAAGTCTACTACAGACTCCCTCCCCCCCCAAAAAAAGCATTTTCATGCAGTTGTATTTTATTTCAACATTTCATTGCCAGTGTTGCAGATAGGTTCAAGTATGTATTACTACTTCCCTGAGCTTATGTTTATGTATGCCTTCACCTTGGTGATGGCTGGTAGGACCCAGATAGTCTCAGCTAGGAGGTACAGCAAGTGTAGAATTTTAGTTCTTTGATTCCCAGAAGATCCATTTTGGTTCCTGAAAGGTATTTCTTGAGTTAATCATCTGAACTTCCTTTTGATCATTCATGCAGAAAGGTGACAGCATGCTGTCACAGAACATTATTCAAGTTTCCTGAATTCTGCTCCTGACTGACTGGTTGTTAGACTTTTGGCAAGTTCGTTTACTCATTTTAGCTTCAATTTGCTGCTTTGTAAATCATGAGGATTCAACTAAAAACCATTTCTAGTGTTACTTCTAGCTCTAATAATCTATGATTCTAAAATGCACACACATCTTTATTCAAGCACTTAACTCCATCTCTGAGAGGAGTATGGGGGTTTCCATTAGGAACCGTCAAGGCACTGAGAACAGTGTTTCTTGTTCATTTATCTCAAGTATCAGCTCTTCCATCAGGACTTGAGAGGGCAGTATAAAATGGCTCCCTTTCTATTTGATTTACCTTTATTTTATACTGTAGCAAACAGAAGTTCCTTAAGGGTGTATATATAGTAACCAGAGAATCCTTTTTTGCAGTTATTACTTCAGTAGGAAAAAAATTAGGAACAAATTACAACCCATTCCCCAAGTTTCCCTTTCAAAACATAACTTTATGTTAATTTAACTATCTCAGGTTTCTAAAGTCATTTAGACTATCCTTCCTTATTATTATATTGGTCTCCATCTATAGTTATCTTTGTGAAGTTTTCACTGGCCATATCCCCTGGAGAGAAAGAGTATAACATAGTACTGGATGTTCTAGAATTAATGAGTTAGGAACTTATTACAGTAGGCATAAGCAGGTGATGTAGGGTCCACTTGAAGACACAAAACCCTGCAGATTTGTTTTACCTGAATATAAATACCTGATTGTAGGACATGAGCACTTTTCCAATGACTTGGACAGCAGTTAGGAAGATGTATTTGGTTTCTTTTTAGTCTAATCAGTCATGGCAGTTGGGCTTCTGGCAGGTGACCAGTTCAATGTCCACAAACTCCACAGAGTTCAAGTCCCTCTGAGAAGACCTCTAGAAAATCATTGATCCTCTCTGATACTGAGTTCTGCATCTGAAAAATGATGATGGAATTCGACTACAAGAACTCCAAGGTCTCTTCTCACTCTAACTTCTGTTATCCTCAGATGGCAAAATAAGGAAGACCCTCTTGCATTTGAGGTTTGACTGAAAATGTTCATATGCTATCAAACCTTGGATTTAGAGAGTTCAAAATAACTAAATCTCTCCTAACTCCCTAGATATGCCAGAGAAATTCTCCTGTCCTTACTGCTCAGATTTTTTGTGTGAAACACATGTAGTGTTTTACCTTAAAGGGCAGTTTCAGATGGAAAAAAACAAGCAAAATTATAATAGAGGAACTTTGCCATTACAGATCCAAGAGGCAAAAGTAAGTCACCAAAAAGTTAACTCACAGTTGTACAATGGAGAAGTCTACCATGAGAACCATTCTTCTGTGTATGTATGTCACTTAAGTTTTTGTTCTTAACATCACTGCTGCGTACCCAAGGCAGCTGAATGCCTGTTATTCGCTTTCTGGCTGCAGCCTACCTTTCCAGGCTTGTTGCCTGTCTGCCTTTGCACAAGCTGTCTTCCGTGTCTAGAATGCACTTCATCCTTACTTCTGCCTCTTAAAATACTTCTCTTCTTTCAAGACTCTTAATATGGAAGTTCCCCCAAGAGCTGTTTTTTGTTTCGATTTTGTATCCCCCGTACCTAGCACAGTGTCTTGCATGTAGTCAGTCCTTAATAAATGCTTGCTGGATATGAGTACCGATGAAAGGCTATAAAACATGCTACATTTGTTACTGTAGCAACATGGCTGCTAGAGGAATTGACTGTTTCTTGCCATTGCTGTTGTGAAAAAGGTATTAACTTGTGGGGAGGGCAGGAGATGATTGAGTAGCATCAGTGGTCATGGCATAAAAGTCATCCTGCAGCCATGCTTCCAATATTCTTTAGCATCTGACCCTTGTAAGCTAGCTAGTAACAACTAACAATCACATTCAAAAGTCACCATCAGATCTATTGTTCAGTTGGAATTAAGACATTTTCCAGCATCCAGCGGTTTAACCAAGGAGGTTTCTGGGTGAAATTGTTAGCTTTCTGAGTGCCTGAATCTTTAGGTCCATGAGTATTTGCCTTGGAGGATGGACAGCAAAATAAATGAGTTAAAAGCTAGGTAACAGGTCTAAAAGAGATTGTTGAACTGGGTCAAACTGGTCAGGAATACAGTACTTAGGAAAAGAGGTGAATTTATGGTAAAATACTGTTTGGACAACTTGGCTTTTCCAAGGAGATAACCCTTGCATATTTAGCATGGACTCAAAATATGAGAGGTGAGCATTTGTTGTATAAATGTGAGCTTCTTCATTGGTTCTTCATGATCCCTGTGATAAATGATGAAGATTCCTAGACAGTAGTTATATGTACCTCCTCAAAAGACTTACTCTTTTTTCTTTGTTCATTCTACAATGCAGCTAAAAGAGAAGAGTCTGAAGTTGAATGCATTCAGAATTGTGCCCCCTGACAGACTATATCAGATCAGATGGTGTCCTGCAACAGGGGTTCTTAACAACTTCTTTGTGACATGGACACAGTGAGAGAAGCTAGTAAATACAAAGATTTCGGGAAAAAAGTTTTTCCTCTACAGACATGAAGTAACAGAACAACAATGGCAGTAAAACCATACTAACAAATATAAGGTGGTGACATTATGGTATAATGGGTGGAGTACTGGACTTGGCATCAAAAAGTCCTTAGTTCAAATCCTGCCTCAGACACTTACTAGCTCTTATGAGAGTGTTAGGCTACCCTGCTAGATGATCTCTGGGGCCCCTTCCAACTCTAATTCTGTGATCTTTTGATCTTAGATATAAAATGAATTTAATTTTCAAAGGTGTCAAAATCTTAAAGTTACAAAAATATGGTCTGTGATATGAAAGACTATTTCTTACTCCTAAGACAGAGTAGCAAAATGGTTGCCTTCTTCCCTAGTTTTTTGCCTTTTGAGGCTGCAGTTCATATTATTAAATATAGTTGTGTTTAGTAACTCTCTGCCTATCTTTTTGAAAACTTAGAAATAGGATATAATAAAGTATTTCGGGATGAGAGAAAAGAAACCACTGACTTCATTGTTCTTGGTTACAGAGACTGTCAATAACGGACACAGACATAGATGGCATTCTTGTCAGATGCTTCCTTTTGCAAGCAAGGTCTGAGTGATTCCTTATTGGGGGAGGAGTTGCAAAGGAGATCCTTGGTCAGATGCAGGTTGGACTAGATGATCTCTGATCTGTTGTCCAACTTTTGATGTTCTGTGACTTTAATTGCTCTTCTACCTCAGCTGTAAAACAATGCAACTACATTCTGAAGCTCATCATCATAGTAATACCAAGGCAACTTGACAGTCAGGAAAGAGCTAATAAAATTTGGGGTATATGAACAGAAATATAGTGTTCAGAACAAGGTCGGTGATGGCCTCACTGTACTCTGATGTCCTATCACAGCTTATGTAGAATATCATGTTCAGTTCTAATTGCCTGTTATACAAATGGTTTGCCTTCCTCTGGATCGACTCTGTCCAGCTCATTAGTCATTATGTTGAAATTCTTTGAAATTACATCATAGGAGAATTGGTTGAAGGAACTAAAGTTCAGCTTAGAAAATAAAAGCTTTAAAGAGAACATGGTTGATATCTTAAAATATTTGAAAGAGCTGACGTAAAATCTGGGGCATTTTCTATAATACCATGATTTGGAGGCAGAAGACCTGAGTTCTAAACCGA